TTTTTTTTAATGTGGTGCTGAGGATTGAACCCAGTGTGTTGCATGTGCTAGGCAAGCACTTTGCCACTCAACCCCAACCCCTGGGCCATATAATTTTTTGGTTTGAATTCTCAGCAATGTGAATTCTGTCTTGTGCATTATAGAACATTGAACGGTTTACATAGCTCCTATCTCTAGAAGCCAGTCGTATATGTAATAGTAATAATAATAATTATAAATACTCTTGTTTAGAATGACAAAAATGTCTCTAGACATTGCCAGATGGCCCTGCTGGAAGGCAGAATCACCTAGTTGAGATTCTTTGTTTTAATGTCTCATATTAAGGGTGTGTGCATTCAAAATTGTTCCTAGCCCTGTTCATGATGAAAACAGAACAGTTCATTGTAAAGCTGAGATGCAGTATGTTCTGTTTAACATGTTGCCTATCTGTCTTGTCACCCATCCTAACAATAAGTCAACCCCACAGGACATAATGACTTAATTTTTTAAGCTCTTTCTTTCTATATTCCAGGTGTCTGATACTACTTGTGTGTCTCTAAATTAACCCTGCACTTTTCTTCTTGTTAGTTTTTCATCTTTTTGTTTTTACATTCTTTTCATTATTCAGTACAATGTTTTAGAAGTGAGTGCTTATGTATCTTTGTTGTGCATGCTGGCCTGGTAAATAGGTTTTGGGATATATATTACAATATACATTGATGAATTGTGTTTCTGCTAAAAATCTCCCAATTAATTTATTTTTGGTGGTGTTGGGGATTGGACCCAGGGCTTTGTGAATGCTAAGGATGCACTCTTTCATCCACATCTCCAGTACTCCAGTTAATCTTATCTCTGTCTAGATGGCAGCCATAAATTGAAATATTTCCTTGGTAGTTATCCCATTTGATTCTGAAGATGTATGAACAAATGTAAAAAAATTTTAAGGTTTCACTTTGTGACTTTATGAAATAATACATAACTGGGAGTATTATTGATCTTGCCAAAATGAATTCTCTCTGAAATTGTTCTAGCAAGGTATAAGTATTCATTTGTACATATTTTAAAATATGATATGTCTACATTGTTAAATGATGAATAATAGTTCTAACATTGGGGTCTGTAGTTTTTATAAAGCTCATTAACATTCCATATATTATATATATATTTTAAAGAAACCTTCAGATCCTGGCACTACAAAATAGTAACAGCAACAAAAACCAGTTTTGCTTTGTTTCTGATTGTGTTGTAATTTGTACGAACTGTTTTAAGAAAGACTTTTTTTTTTAATGATTCACAAATTATGTTTAATTTCTTAAGTACTAACTGTGCTTTTCTTTGTATTATAGGCATATGGTTGATGATATGCTAAGTGCAGATGACGTCAGTTGCAGCAGCTCGCAGGTCAGTGCAAAATCAGAAAAAAATATGGCTGATTTTGATGGTGAAGAATCTGGATGTGAAGAGGAACTAGTTCAGATTAATTCACATGCAGAACTAACATCTCATCTCCAACAACATCTTCCCAATTTAGCATCTATTTACCATGAACATCTTAGTCAAGGTAAGGTTCTGTAGTAAGTAAAGTAAATTACTTTCTTCAAAGCAGAAATAATTTATATTGTTAAAAGAAATTAACAGTTAATGTTATGATAGTTAAGTTTTTTTGCCAAAACAATTTTGTCTGATAATTTTATCTTTCCAAAGGAGTGATATCAGTTTAAATACTCCATTGTTAATATAAATAAAGACGGCATTTCTATCAAGTGATCTTCAGCTGGAAAAGGCTATGCTTATTAAGAATGTTTAAGGAAATTACAGATTTATATTTTAGAAAATAGATGGCTGTATGGATTTTATTTTTCAAAATCACAGGAGCCGGCTGCAGTGGTACATGCCTGTAATCCCAGCTCCTGGGAAATCTTAGACAAGAGGATGGCGAGTTCAAAGCCAGCCTCAGCAATAGCAAGACACTAAGCAACTCAATGAGACCCTGTTTCTACATAAAAATACAAAATAGGGCTGAGTATGTGGCTTAGTGGTTGAGTGCCCCTGCGTTGAATCCACAGCACCCTCACCACACTCCCCTGCCCCTTAAAAAAAGGAACTGAAAGTAATAGCTGGGAATGGTGGTGCATGCATGTAATTTCAGTGGCTCTGGAGGTGGAGGCTGGAGGATTGCAAGTTTTAAGCCAGCCTCAGCAATTTAGCAAGGCCCTATACAACTCAGCAAGACCCTTTCTCTAAATAAAATATAAAAAGGGCTTGGGATGTGCCTTAGTGATTAAGTGCTCCTTGTTTCAATTTCTAGTACTAAAAAGCAAAGCAAAAAAAAAAACAAAAGAAAAAGAAAAAAAAGATGTGCACGTGTGCACATACACACATGTACCGCCCCCCAAAAAAGAAGAAAGAAAAAAAAATAGGAGATTACAGCAATTCTGTATTATAGGATTTCATTTATATGAAATATCTATAATGGGCATATCTCTATAGACAAAGTATTTTAGTTGTTTATGGATTGAGAGGTTTGGCAGGGTTCGGGGGGGATAAGGAAGAGTAACTGCTAAAGTGCAAGGCATTTCTTTTTAAAAATTTATTTAATTTTAATTATTTTTAGTTATACGTGTCAGTAGAATGTATTTTGACATACATACATAGAGATAACTTCTCATTCTTTGGATTGTACATGATGTGGATTTACATTGGTCGTATATTCATATATGAATATAAGAAACTAATGTCTGATTCATTCTACTGTCTTTCCAATTCCCATTTTCCTTACTTTTTTTTCATTTCCCTTTGTTTGTTCTAAAGAACTTCTGTTCTTCCAATGCATTTCTTCTTACTGTGGTGATGAAAATGTTTGAGAAATGATCATACTAATTATTCTAGATTGATCTAAAGAAAGTAATATAACATGACCAGATCTGGAGGATAGAAGAGATTAAAGAGTAGAACATTGCAGTCCTGACATTTACGAGATTGAAGCAGGAAGATCACTTTAGCCCAGGGGTTTAAAGCCAGCCTCGGCAACATAGTAATGAATGTACAGGCACATATACATAGCCACCCAAACCCAACCATCCTCTTGCTTAGTTAGCATAACATCAGCACATGACTAGGCTATAAAATAGCATTTGATATGATAGTACATTACAAGTAAACCTGATGCATTGTATTTTTGCTAAAAGACCAGATCAGACTTAACACAATTCATGAATCTTGGTAATAACTTACTGATTTCAAATATTCCTTGGTTGGGGCTGGGGATGTGGCTCAAGCGGTAGCGCGCTCGCCTAGCATGCGTGCGGCCCGGGTTCGATCCTCAGCAGCACCACATACCAACAAAGATGTTGTGTCCGCCGAGAACTAAGAAAAAATAAAAGGTTAAAATTCTCTCTCTCTCTCTCTCTGTCCCCCTCTCTCACTCTCTCTTTAAAAAAAAAAAAAAAAAAAATCCTTGGTAGTTATCTTGACTTTGTTGTGTTACTGTGGTTGTTCTGGAGTAAATAGGTTAAGATTGAGGTCATCAGATTGAATTTGAAGCCATATTTTAAAATCCTCACCATTTTCTTTTTCTATGCTTTTTAAAAATTTAGTCAATATTTTGCATATCCCTTTTCATGAAGTTGACCAGGATGATTATATGTGTTAATCCACTTAGAATTCACCTTGTTTTGCAAAATTTTAGCACTATAAAGAATCTTCAACACATTTGGACAAATAATCAAATTTAAACATGGATGCCAGCTGCAATGCCATATACTTACAGTTCCAACTATTTGGAAGGCTGAAGCAGGAGGATTGTTTGAGCTCAGGTGTTCTAGGCCAGCCTGGACAACATAGTGAGATGCTTTAAAAATAATAATAATAAAACATGGGCAGAAGATACTTCAAAAAGAATATACTTAAAAATGGTTAGTAAATGACAGGCACCGTCCCCACTGTAATTAAAGGATTACATGCCTGTAATCCTAGCAGCTTTTTTTTTTTTTTTTTTTTGAGAGAGAGAGGTTTTTAATACTTTTTTTTTTTTTTTTTAAAGTTTTCAGTGGACTTTTTTTTATTTTTTTAATGTGGTGTTGAGGATCGAATCCAGCACCCTGCGCATGCCAGGCAAGCTCGCTACCGCTTGAGTCACATCCCCAGCCCATCCTAGCAGCTTTTGAGGCTGAGACAGGATTGTGAGTTCAAAGCCAGCCTCAGCAATTTAGTTAAGGCCCTAAGGTATTCAAAAAGATTTTGTCTGTAAATAAAGTTATAAAAGAGGCTGGGGATGTGCTTGGTGGTTAATTCCCTCTGGGTTTGATCCCTG